TTTATAAATCCGGCTTGTGGAGTCCAACAATTGCTATAATTTTTTTCAAATCTGTATTAGAAACAGTATTTTTTTAACAGCTCAACAGAAAGTTTTAATTATATGGAATGATTTTTTCCCACTGCTTTCAAAGGAATGGGGGGCTGAAGTCTACTTCCAGACCATCGATCCCTGGGAAAACAAAACAATATATGCAAGTCAATGGGGCTATAAATGCTATTTTCTAATGCACCAAGGATTTCCCATATGATGTCTGTGAATTTTAAAGACACATTCTGATTCCAAGAAAGTGCTTATTTTTGAATGGGGGCTAAAGTTATTTTCAGGTTTTGTGTAAAAATATGTCCAGGACTACAAGTGCACATCACCAAATTCACTTCCTCAAACCAGACGAGGAGAAGACCAGAGGAAAAATGACTGTAAGTTCAGCGAGCTTCAAATCCTTCCTAAAGGAGGAGAGAACCACCATAGATCTGGCCACGTTGTAAGTACCAGCTACGCAACAGGAGAGGAGATTCAGAGATGGAGAAACGCCAGCTGCTACCACTTCAACTTTAAGACAAACTACCAGAGTCCCTAAAAGAAAAACACCGTTTGAAGATGCAGATGACAAAAGACAACAGTGACTGGTGTTTAGCACTCTCTCGTTTACTCTGGCAATGTGGGTTCCCACATTAGGTGGGCATTGCCTAGGGATGATGTTTAACAGGAGGAGTGAGAGTTCTGTGACTGTGTTTAAAAGCTAGCTTGTTTTGCAGATTCTGTAAAGCAGCTTTAAATAATGATTGGCTTGTTTCATAACGCCATTTGGTCCCGTTGGACTTTGATGTATTGCAAAGACAATGCAGGATGCTGATTTGACAGTTACAACAAATGTTTCATGTTTCAACACTGAATGCAGCATTTTCTGAAGAGTTGCTTCTGCAGGGGTTAATGACCACGTACAGCTTCACAGCCTGCAGAACCTGAACTTTTGTTTCCCATCTCTGAGGACCAACAGGTGCTGAAGACTGAGTCTGATCCTTTTTAAACATAAGGAGTGTGGCTAGCGACCTTCTGTGTCTCAGTGAACAAGACGGTAGACTATTGACACAGGCAACAGTTGGAGGAGAAAGAGCTCTAGCCTTCCCATCAGAATGTGATATTGCTCGTCTCAGAGGGAGGGTGAAGTGGCATTGTCTTATTCAAGTGGGACATAGAGGAAAGGTAGTGGTGAGTGCCAGCAGACTGTCTGTCTCCTCTTATGTGCATACCTCTGTTTCGAGTAAGACTGTAATTGACTCTTTATCATCATTATGATCCCACAGCGAATGAAGGAGCCGTAATCCCCTCGTTCCTCTGACGCTTGTTTTCAAAGCATAAATTCCAGCAAAGGATTTCTACATATTTGGGTAGAGTTTCCACGGAAGATAAGAAATGTGTCATTGTGTTTAAGCTTTTATTCTTCCAACAAATATTCTCGTGTTTTTACTCTTCACCCTTTTCCTTATTGGATCTTGTTTATTTCATTGTGTTCATTTGTCTTTGCTTTCATCTGATTTCGTTAAGAAAACAAACGTCCTGAGAGACTATACCAAGGACTGTAAGGTTATGAGATGTATGGTGCTCAGTGCTATGGGATGCATTTTTTTGGGTTATGACAAAGGCCCAGTGTTCCAGCAGCACTTATTCATAAGCCATAGTATATGTTTACCCTAATAACCCTGGTTCTCACTTTGGAGAAAGCAAGGTAGACACAAAGACGTCTGTAGCTGAGGGCCATTATCATTAAATGATTTTTTTGTGTTTTCATCTTCAGGAACTATTAAACTCGCATGCACCTGAGATTTACAATAAATAGACTGTGTGTGTGTGTGTGTGTGTGTGTGTGTGTGTGTGTGTGTGTGTGTGTGTGTGTGTGTGTGTGTGTGTGTGTGTGTGTGTGTGTGTGTGTGTGTGTGTGTGTGTGTGTGTGTACGTGCATGTGTGTAGATAAAAGGGAGCTGATCTGCTAAACAAAAACAAAAGACAGTAACTCAAACTCAAAATGAGACATTCCTCTATGTTTTTGTGAATCCCCCCCCCCCCCCCCCCCCCCCCCCCCCCCCCAAAAAAGAAAAGTATGCCAGAGGAAGTGCTACAGTTTTTGTCCATGAAAGATGAGTAAAAGCTTCTATAATAAAAGGATATTTGATTTCAAGATTGTCTTCCTCCACTTATCCGGGTCCGGGTCGCGGGGGCAGCATCCCAACTAGGGAGCTCCAGACCGTCCTCTCCCCGGCCATCTCCACCAGCTCCTCCGGCAGGACCCCAAGGCGTTCCCGGACCAGATTGGAGATGTAACCTCTCCAACGTGTCCTGGGTTGACCCGGGGGCCTCCTGCCGGCAGGACATGCCCGAAACACCTCCCCAGGGAGGCGTCCAGGAGGCATCCTGACCAGATGCCCAAACCACCTCAACTGACTCCTTTCAATCCGGAGGAGCAGCGATTCTACTCCGAGTCCCTCCCGAATGTCCAAGTTCCTCACTCTATCTCTAAGGCTGAGCCTGGCCACCCTACGGAGGAAACTCATTTTGGCCGCTTGTATCCGCGATCTCATTCTTTCGGTCATTACCCAAAGCTCATGACCATAGGTGAGGATTGGGACGTAGATCGACCGGTAAATTGAGAGCCTGGCTTTCTGGCTCAGCTCCCTCTTCGCCACGACAGATCGGCTCAGCGTCCACATCACTGCAGATGCCGAACCAATCCTCCTGTCGATCTCCCGATCCCTCCTACCCTCACTCGTGAACAAGACCCCGAGATACTTAAACTCCTCCACTTGAGGTAGGACCTCTCCTCCGACCCGGAGTGGGCAAGCCACCCTTTTCCGGTCGAGAACTATGGTCTCAGATTTGGAGGTGCTGATCCTCATCCCAGCCGCTTCACACTCGGCCGCGAACCTACCCAGCAAGAGCTGAAGGTCAGAGCTGGATGAAGCTAGGAGGACCACATCATCCGCAAAAAGCAGAGACGAGATTCTGCTGCCACCAAACTCGATTTCAAGATTGTAATAAATATATAATTTAAACTTAGGAAGTACAAATGTAAATAATTAGACTAATTTCCAATTTAGTTTTTCAATTGAAAGAGTTGTATTGCCCTTTAGTACAAAGTACTTAATGTTTTAGAACATTTCATCCACTTTTTGGAGCTTTTTACCATGTGATATTATTTTCTCATGAGAAATACCCCCAAACCCATTTTGGGCTGCATTCATGCATTTTCCTGCCTCAGCTTCAATTTGGTCCATGCACAGATTTTTCCTGCATCCAGGAGAAAGTAGTCTCCTTACATCACCAGGCATTTCTCCTTCCCGTATCTGGTCTGATCTCGGTTCTGAAACCTGGATATTCTGTGGATGTTCTGACAAATTACTTCTGCATTGAGGAAAAAACACTGCCGTAAAAACCATGCATCACGTCTACAAAGAAACACACAATGGCCAGCTCAGGACACCACTGGGAGTCGAACCGGCGCGTGCAGGCGCTTAAACCGCTGGACTACCAAGGCCAATCCAACAGCAGCCATGCCTAAGACGCTGTTGTAGGCGCGCTTTGTAGGAGAAGATGTGGGCAGAGCTTTGCTAAAACTAAATGTTTCAGTTCCGTGTATAAATTCAGGCTGATAAAAAACTTGTATTTAAGATAAAAGACATCTCAATAGTGCCAGCAGTAATATTTGATCATATATGGTGCCTACCTTTGCTCTCAAAGATGTAAAATAGCATAATCTGGCCCCTGTAAAGGGACTTTAAGGACTTTTGAATTTTTATGCTCGTGATTGCCCCCTCAGGCCAAAAGCGTACTGGCAGCTTCAATAGTAGGCTCGTGCACGAGGCGCGCATGCTGTATGTGCACACTCCTTAACGAAAATAACAGCTGAGACAGTCCCTAGTGTGTGTGTGTGTGTGGGGGGGGGGGGGGGGGCGGAGGACAGAGGACAGGAGAACGCGCAGCTAATTAATTAAATAATTTGGTTCTGTACCTTTCTCTTCAGCACAGCTGACAATGGTTTATGATGGGTCAGTCCTCCTGCATGCTCAGATCATTCCCTTGAAAAATTGTTCCAAAATGAAAGTTGAACCCACATCTTTTTTATCTGTGAATTCAATGGCGTTCGGCGAGTCTCAAATAAAAATTTGGGCATCTTACTGTAAAACAATATAACATTACTGTAAAAAAGAAACTCTAAATATACTATGTTCACATCCAGAATCAAACCCAGGTCTTCTGCATGAGAGTCAGACATCTTACAAGGTGAACTACACTCTACTAACATTCATAGCATCTGTAACATTTATATCCTTGATGACGGCTGAAACAACGCCAAACCAAAGAACGGTTCGGAGCGAAAATGGCTATTTTGTTGCTGATTTGCAGGAAATATCTAGAAGAAAGTTCTACAGAAATGTAGCTAGGTTCATCACTAGGCGTGAGGAACAGCGACAAAGTCGCTGAGTTGGCACTGCCTCTCTCTCTGCTGCTAAAGCTACTGATAGCAAATGCTACGGGCGATGCCTGAGCGTGAACGCGCATGAAGCAGCCTGCTCGACCCGAGCATCTCTCTTTTTCTGTGATTTTACAGAAAAACAGGCAATCACAGTAAAAATGCCAGGGCTCATTCTACAGGACCAGAGCATTGCAGGAGAATGTATGAAGAAGAAATGTATTATTTCTATACATGTTTTGGCTGTCAAACTTCCATAACGTCCCTTTAAGTTTTGGTAGTTTCATTGGGAAAACTGCCTTTATCAGTTAAGTTTTAATATGTGAGATTTTTGCTCATTATGCTTCTATTCAATCATTTCAGCGACTCTCACTTTGACATCAATCTAGTAAACTGTTAAATAGTCCTTTGTTTCTCAGTGTCTTCATTGTTGCCATTAGGAAACAAAAATGTCAGAAACCAAAATCAGATAAATAAATACATCGTTTCGATCACAAAGACGTTTGCACAAACATGTCGGTTTTTGACTGACCAACTGCCTCTTCGGGTGTCCAGTAACCCGACGTGTCACAGAGACGAGGAGAGGACGCCTGATAGGCGTACTGGTGGAAGACGCCGTCTTTCTCACAGTCTCCACAGTTGATGCCAGACGCTTGAAATGATGAGCTGGGACAACAGAAAAGAGATTCCGATTTTATCATACATGCATTTCCCAAAATAAAGCTCACCTAAAGTCAGACTCATCAGTCATTTTTGATTATTTGATGCTACTAGAAACTAGAAGGTCAACATCATTTACAGTGTCCCTTATAAATGCTAATTACATTGAACTCTTGTGTGTTATATTCATATTAATTTTTCTTTTAAAAAAATTATCATTAGGACAGAATCGTAACAAAAGAGGGACTCATTCTCAATGTTATATTGTATCCATACCTTTGAAAAAGTGCCCCCCTCATAGGTGGAAGCCAATATAAAGAGACAGAATTGGTGCTTTGGCCCGTCACTATAGGGGCAAGTGGGATGGAGGCGGGTCGACGGTCCATCATCCAGTTCTGGTAGACCAAGTCCAGATAACAGTGCATCCTGGCTACTTGATTTGGAGTAAAATGGTTGGTGCAGTTGTCATCTGATTTAAGATTCAAGAAGATCTCCAATCAATCTTTACAGATCAGGTTAAATGAAACATTTTTATTAAATGTGCTGGTTGTTTTATTTCTCGCTTGATGGTTCATAGTTGCTCTAGACTACAGGAAAACAAACAGGCTGCTGAATCCTGAGCCAACAGGCTGGTTTCATTGAATAACAGAGTCAGCATGACCTTACTGGATTATTATTTACTCCTTCCAACAACAGTTGTGAGAAGAATGCTCGTCTGCTGCACCTGCGTAACTCATGTAGTTGCTGTACGGAGTGTCCCGGAAGGAGCTGAATCCACACGTATCATTCACAGCTTCAGGGTCATGGCAGGAATTGGATTTGGTTGTTGGTGCCGTGTCGGCACACAGATCTCCTGTCTCCATGGATGGAGTCATCTCCTGCAAAAGCACACATCAGAGGAAATCATATCTTCTATAGCATCTAACAAAACATGACAGACTTTTAATGAATATCCAGGTGAACTAGGGCAATTTAAGCTTAATGGAAAGTAGCTGATGGGTTACAAATGCAGTTTTCAGAAGTAAAAATGTCCACAAAAAATGGTGATTTGGATGTTACAAAGTAGCGAAGGAAGTCAATACAAGAGAAATGCGTGATAAACACAGCTCACAAAAAGGTTTAGAGTCATTGGTCCTACCTGACATGGGTCATCACAGGAGTCCCGCTCACTCACGCCCTTGAACACATGGTATAATCCAAAAATGTGTCCCATCTCGTGGATCATTGTGTTTTGATGTCCTCTTGTCCCAAAGTAGGTCGGGTTCAGAACCATCCCACCTACACAGGACATTAGATTTACAGGTTTTAAACAAAAATGAATAAAATCTCAATATAGATAATGAAAACATACAAATTAAAGATGGGTAATAAAGCAAGATATTATCTTACCATTGTTTACCACTATCTCACCATTGTGGTGCTCAGTGATACAAAAGTACAATTTACATTTTAGTCATAGAGGCTTTGATTTAAAAAATTTCTCAGCCTGTGAATAATTTCTAAAAACTCTAAGCTGGTTAAACTGCAGGGTTTACTAATTAAGAAGTATTTTTCTAAGCCTCAGGTGATTTGTGACTATTTTGAGGTCTTTATGAGAGACTCTTATTTTGAAAGACTGACAAAAGTAGATGTCACAGTGTGTGTAAAGACCAAATTAGACAGATGTAAGAAAATGCTTCATGTTGCTATTTGTTGTTTGGTTAAAAGCACACACAGAACCCTCACTTACAACAATAACAGTGTTTGCTTCCTCAGGCTTTCCTTGAAATGGCCTCAACATTTTTCATCTATTTGATCATTATCTTGACACAAATAAAAGCTCTTCCTCGTGTTTATTTTTCAGTGACCCTGAAACGCAGCTGGTAAGAGCAATAATGATGGAAAAGTTCATTTTAAATGGGTTTCTAATTAAAATATGTATAATGAGAGTGCGCGAGTGTGGCAACAACAGAACAAATCCACTGCCGTTTGCTTGACTGGTTGTTGTTTGGTTGATTTTAATTTTCCAGTGAAAGCAGACCTAACTGGAAGAGGAACTAACCAATGTGCCAGCAAAGTGCTTGCCAACTTGTTGTTTTTGCCATGTAATTTAACTGTGCCTAAAGGAGGCAAATGATGAAAGTAGGAGTAAACAATAGGGAATGTCTGGACAAAAAAACTAAATTCAACTTGTGATACTGAAAAAGACAGAACCAAAGACAAGTGCAGCACTTTTATAACTGGCCTTGATGTGTAAGAGCCTCCTTTGCCCACGGCCATGTTGCAGCTCCTGCCAGCTCTTCACGCACCGAGTTGCTAGCAAAGAAGACGTTGAGTTTGTCGGTGCCGCTCAGGTTTAGTTCCTCCTTCAGTTCTTTCACGCTCATATAAGCTCTGCAGGAATAGAAAGAACGTAAAACAAATTACTTCACCACTACGGTCATTTTGCAACTATTAAGAAAAATATTTGGTAGAGGTTTAGTAAAAGGTCATTTATTAACACGTCCTCATCAATATTACAACAATAAACCTCTTGTGAAGCTGGATGTGCGAAGGGGTCGCCCCAGGTAAGCTATTCAAATGGAAGGGCAGTGGCCTACAGTCAACCGTCTAGATATTGGCTAGATATCTAAACAATAACAAACAGCACATTAGATCAGTGTTGGGAGTAATGGCGTCTAAGTATAACAGAGCTACAAACTGTGTTACTTTTGAGGTAACGGAGTAATCTAATTAATTACTTTTCCCATCATTGCAACACCGTTACCGTTACTGAGCTTGTTGTTACTGATTTAGCCCTGGTTGGAGGGAGAGGGGGAAGGTAACATTGTAAAGTGGCGTGTTACTCCATTACTACAATATGGCTGAATGAAGTGCAGTGGTTGTCAGGCTTTCAGACAGCACCAGTGATGTTTCGGTCACACACGAAACGGCTCTTGAGCCGACCAGAGCTGGAGTGAGAACTGCATGTTATAAAACATGTTAATTTGTTTAAAATGTTTCCATTGTATTCTCTTTTACCCACTTCTTCAGACACACACACACACACACACTCGTCTACACTCTAACGGACCTGTTAGTAAGAGAATTGATTGAGAATCAATTCTGAATCTAATTGTCACCCTTAGAATCTGAATCAAATTGAATTGTGAGTTATTGTAAGATTCACATCCATACTTAATACCTACATTATATCACAGAACAGGGTAAGACCATCACTTTTACAGAATTCTGAAAAACTTTTATGTTGAAAGCCAACCCCATCTGTGTGCTAGCGCAACACATTCTCACTCCCAGCGCGTCAAAAACAAACGCTTGGTCAGCCACCCTCCACGTCAGACCCCGACGCCAAAAGTGCCCTTTTTCGTTACTTATGTGCGAAAAGGGTTTTTTACCTTATTTGACTGCAGATCCCAATGCAGCGTTACACTGACGTGATGGGATGTCCGCAGCCAGGGCACCAAACAAGCTCATTGTACCTCACCTTAACCTTATCCTCTTATTTAACCTTCCCCTCACCCCTATCCTAACCTTAACCATCTTGCTAGCGAACACGTTAGTGATGTGTCGATCGCTCTAAAAGCCGGCTCTATGAAGTGAACGACGGGAGCCGCCTCGTGATTGGTCGAGTTTGGACCGAGCCAACGCGAGGGGGAGGTTTCAACTACCACGGTGGAGGTTAAAAGTAGAGGGTATCTGTAACCTCCCCCTCGCCAGATGGTATGTTCTAACGTTCCCCTTGGGCGGCAAATACGAAAATTGACAGTAAGAGTCTGACTGTCAGAGTCAGAATGCATGGGAAACAAACGCTTGATCACAGTGAGAGTAACGTCTTAGGTAGCAAGAGGGTTAAGGTTAGGATGAGGGAGAGGGGAAGGTTATAAATAGTGAAACGTTAAGGTTTAGGTGCGGTTAAATGAGCTGGTTCGGTGCCGCATCAGCTGATATCTCATCACGTCAGTTTTACGCTGCATTGGGATCTGCAGTTACAAAAGGTACATAAGTAACGAAAAAGGGCACTTTTGGCGTCTGGGGTCTGACGTGGAGGGTGGCTGACCAAGCGTTTGTTTCCGACGCTTAGGGTATGAGAATGTGTTGGCTAGCGACATACGTATCTCATGGAAGACAAGATGGACTTGTATGACATTCTCAGAAATTAATAATTGCAAAAGTAAACTAATTACCTAGCTGATTAACTTTGGAAGTAACTCTTTTCAAAGTGAAGGCAAGAGGTTATCGGTTTTAGAAAATTCAAAACTGGCTACAACTTACTCACTTTTATAAGTGCTGACCAACAATTTGGTGGTATTAGTAGCACATTCACTAAAAGATCAGGTGAGACCTTAGTTAAATATTAAATAGGGCAGGTGGCACCAGCTAAAATATAAGGTGATTTTAATTCAAAAGTCTAAAATTAAAGGTGGTGGATGAACAGAAGAACGTTGAATTAAAGTTATTTTGCACAATCTGACATAATACATCCTGCAGTTATGATTCATTATAGTAATTTGTGAAAAAGGAAGTGGGTTTTTTTTCATAATTTTATTTGGATTATCAATATACTTGTTTTGTGGTGTTCTCCTCATTTTGAATGTTTTATTGTTTTAGACTGTGTGCCTTAATCCTATTTTTAATTGTTTGGTTAGCCTTCTATGTTTTATTTCCTTGTTACATATTTCATGCTGCCTTGTTTTGTTCTCTGGTTTTATGTGTTTTACTTTTTGAATCTTTGTTTTTACTCCCTGTGTATTGGAGGCTTTTAACTATGTAGTATTTTTGTCAGTTCTGCTGCGCCTTCCTTGCCCAGCACTTTGGTCAGCTGAAACGCTGAATATGAATATGTCATTATATGGTCAATGTGTATAATGTGTGTAACTACGCAATATAGCCACGGCTACCCATAATGCAAAGTAGACAGTGATTTAATGAAGTGACTTCAATTTGTAATGCTTGATGTTTTTTTAATCATGTTTAGCATAAGATTTATTAACCCTTTCATGCAAGAATTAGGAAATCTTCAACCATGAACAATTTTTTTCATTCTCTTTTAGGTATGAATTAAACTAATTTGAACAAAAAAAGTTTTTTTACATTTAATTTACAAATAGTTTATTGCATGTCCACCTCAATGTACAGTTTGGGCGTCCTGTAAAAATGCTCTGGACCAACGAATTCAATGTAGACATGATCTGCACGTCCATGCAATGTTTACTGTTTGCAGGGTATGCATGAAAGTGTTAATTGCAAACCTGAACATTTCAATAAAATATAAGCAAATGTTTTGTAATAAAATACATGAAAAACATCTTGAACTTCTCTATGAGTGACAAAAATGGCTCTTTTCCTTCAAGATTGCATTAAAAAAAAGTGTTCATTAAATAAAACATGAAAGTATAAGTTCGTGGACATCATTTAAAGTATATTAGTCTGTTGAGAGCTTATTTAGTTTTTTTTCGATTGCTAAAACTCAAAAAGCAAAAATGAGGCACAATTTTCACAACCTCTACTTCTGTTCCCAATCGCTTGACTCAGTTTATCACTACTTAAGATTTCCATATCATATTAGAACTCTGATTTTCCTCCTTTACACTCTGATGTCAATTTCACATTATTGCTGTCAAAACACAACACACAATTTTCAGGTTTACACACACTTCACACATAAATTCTCAAAGCTTCAAACAACAACACACAAATATTCAAATCTCTAAACATTCAGGTCTGGCGAGCAAATTGCAATCAGGGACTGCAGCATAAAAGTATGTTTCCACAAGGCTACCCAGGTGTATGAGAGGCTTCAGGGCCACCCACGGTTTTCCATTTTATACCTTCCACCTTATTCCCCCTTCCTCAATCCCACTGAGGAGTTTTTCCTCAGCTTGGAGGTGGAAGGTGTACGAAAGGAATCCACAGAGCCAGGTCCCACTGCTTCAAGCCATGGAGGAGGCTTGTAGAGATGTGGCCTTTGAGTCATGTCAGGACTTCATGAGGCACTCGAGGCGGTACTTCCAGCGCTGTTTGGACCAGGAGGACATCGCCTGTGATGTTGAAGAGGCCCTCTGGCCAGACAGAGACCGGCGGCATGATGCCCCATGATTATGCTTGGGGGGGGGGGGGGGGGGGGGAACCGTAAAAATAAAATGTTTGTCTCAAAATTTGTGTGATGTCTAATGTTTGTCTCAGAGAAAAGTGGGCACTGTCATACATTCAGTGTGTAATTCATTGTGTTCCATTTAGACAATTGTGTTTTCAGTTTTGCTCTTCAGTGTTCTTTCCATGCTTGGTAGTGTTCACCCAAAGGCTACTTGTGTTTAAGCAATGAATGGTATGTGTGTGTCATGTGAAAATGTGGCTGTGTTTACCAAATGAAAACACGTGTTCCATTTTGGGAACATGTTACGATATGTGATGGCAGGGTTTTGTTGCAAAGGGAAGCCACGGTTTAGGGATTTGTGTGTTATGTTTGGGGTTTTGTGTGAGCAGTTTTGAAAGAAACGTACAGTTTTGCAAAACGCGTTTTAGCAATCAAAAAAAACTGTAAGAGCTCATTGTTTGTTTAGTGTAGGGCCATTCTTTAGCAGGCGACAGTTTGCTTCAATCCATCAACGTCCATCTTTGTTCAGAACGAGACTCTAAATCATAACTGTTTGAGTTGGTCGGGTTATTTCACACCGCTGCAATCACCTCAACGCAGCACACCATTCCCACATCCTTCTCTGTCCATCAGTGATGAATTACCCCTGGAGGACTTTGATGTGTGAGGCAAAATTTGTTTTTCTTTGCCTGGGTGATGTCACGTGTCATTTTTCTTCGTTGCTTTCATAGCTGGAAACCTTTTGCTCCTATCACCATGAAGCCCTGCTTGGTCAGAGAGCTATGCAGTAGCTCTAACTGTCCAATGCCTCCATGCTTGGTAGTTTTAGGCATTTAGCTCATTATCCCACGGATTTTCACAAGTGTAAAAGAAGATGGAAAATTCATGCTGCATGAACTGTTATGGATGCACGTAAAGTCTTCCACTCATGTGTCAGTGTAGCACAAGGTCAGATTACTTCACGTTCATAAAAATGCATTCTGGTAAATGTATGAATCATCTTGTTGGTGAGCTCTTGTTTCCTTTCATCTTGCAGAGGCAAGGATTTGGGTTGGAAAATTGTTGTTTTTTTTCCTCATTCTTTTTATAACGTAATGGGTTACTGTGTCATCTTTTTCTTATTGAGGAGGAAGTTGAGGTTAATGTGACTGATCAAGTTCAGATGTGGGGAAAGCTTTAAACTAACCTTTGTGTTTGAATATGGATTTGTGTTTTTGATGCAACTCTGCTGTAGGGCGCAGGTTTATACCATTACCTAAGTATGCTTACATCTTTTCTTGTTGATCACAAATCACATGTA